CTTTGTTCTTATGAGAAGCTCGAATTGGGTGATGATCCACTGCCATTGACCCTATAGGCCTGGCCACATGGCATCTGGACAGGTAACTGGAGAGGTAAACCTGGGCATCATTCATGTTGCTGTGGTCCACAAGGCCCTCTTCTGCATGTCCTAATCAGGGTTGCTTACTGTCCTAACAGGGACCAGGGAGGTAACATGAACGAGGGACATGAGCTTGGTGTAAGCAAGGCAGACATCAGCAACCAATAAACCGGAGGGGGCAGGCTGAGAGGAAGGGGACTGCTGTGAGAATCTGTGGGAACACGGCCCCCTGAAGGCTGATCATCTGATTTTCGCCCCAAATCCATAAAGCCGGATTATATGTGATATGTGCAGGGTTTAGGGATCCTGTGTGGGCCAGCCAAACTGCCACCTGGGCAGAATTGACTTGTAGACTCTGTTTGGGACCCCAGCCTCAAATTTTTCAGGTCTGCAGAAACAGTCCCTTTGTTTCAATCAAAGAAATCCTCTGTCTCCTCAGAACCAGCATAGGCCTTTTTCAACAAGTGGAAACCTAGGTGCTCCAAATGACTATCTTCATTAATTTGTTAATTTTTTTAAAAGCCACTCAGACCGCCCTGAAGTTCAACGGCTCCCTGTCTTTTCATGTTCACAGGCTTTGTGCAGACAACCAGTGAGCTGTCCTTTGGCACTCTAAAATGTCAGAGCTCAGGCCACGAGTTCCCTCCGATGGGAGAGATCTGCCTCTCTGAAGAGAAGCAGACATGCTCAGAGCCTGTACCCTGGACTGTCCCTCCAAAATGACAAGAGAGGGGTGAACAGCTAGGCTCTCTACAAAACTCAGTGGGACGAGAACACAAAGGGCTTCAGAAGCCAGAGTGCATTTGCACTTCCTCTCTAATAACCAGCATCGACTGGAACTTTCCATGTGCCAGCTGTTGTGTTTCTGCTGCATAGGTACACAGTAAGTCCTCGATAACTGCTTTTGGATGGGTGGATGGATAAATAAATGAATCAGATATCGCTTTTATTTCACACTCCTGAACTCGGGCCTCAGCACTGTAAGGGCCTTTGGATTTGCAGGATCTCTTCTTTCATTTGTCAACTATTTCTGAGTGCCAAATCTGTGCAAAGTCAGCGTGTCAGCCACCAAAAAAAAGAAAAAAAACAGAACCTTCCTTCAAGGTGTGTCCCGGCAAAGACAGGTGAGATATATGTAGTGATGAATCCAGGTCAAGAAGGCAGTGGGTGAAGACAGTTCCTCACTCCTAGGAGCGGCTGGCCACACCCAGGAAGATTCTCTGAAGATTCTTAAAATGCCTCCCTAAAAGCCACATAAGAATCTTCCAGGATATGGTAAAAGTCCCCCGCAAGTAGCTTTGCTCTCAAGGGGGAGATCAGCAGAGGCTGCCCCAAAAAGGATCTCAGAGAGAGGCACTGCAAGAGTTGGAGGAACCAACAAGAGGCAGAGGAAGAAACGCCAAGGTGCTGGTGTCATGCCTGGGCACAGTGGTGTTGGTGCTGTCAGTAGACACTTGGAAATCTCAGTCTCTGTTGGGAAGAGACCGGGGTTCACTCTGCAGCAAGTCTTAGGGTGTGTTCACCCACGTGGCTGCTCAGAAGATTCTCTGCTATGGCAGCCTCTATGGGAAGAGTCCCAGCTAGTATGGGAGGTGGTGCCAGCTCCCTGGGGACACTCTCCCTTACCCCCCCACAATGCCACCAACCTAGACACATACCTGAATAAACACCTGGTCATCCTTTAGTTCTTAGCTTCAACCTCATGTCCAAAGAGAAGCCCTCCCTGTCAACAACAAAGGGAGCCTGCCTCCCTGTAGCTCTTGTAGCTCTCTCATTCTTTGAGGTGCTTTTCACCTTTATTTGTGTAGTTATTTGCTGAAGTCTCCTGGCTGCTGGGCTGTGGGCTCCTGGAGGGCAGGGCCAGGGAGTGTCTGTCCTGTACACGTGCATTCCCACCCTCCTGGGGCAGACTAGACTCGCCTTCCAATAGGAAGGGCTTCCTGGCACGTGAGGGAGCTTCTGTAGTAAGGAGGAGACTTTCCTCAGGTTCCTGGGAGGACTCTACAAGGCAAGGTGAAACTGAAAGGTTGCCAGGAGCACTTCCTCACTGCCTGCTTTCTGTGATGGCAGCTCCAAACCGAACTTCCCCTCCTCTGCTGAAGATCTCAAGTGAGAGGTTTCCTAAAAAGCAAACAATGCTCCAAACCAGAGATGCTACACTTACAAAACAATATAGCCCGATGCTGAGAAAGAGCTGTGGATAGTCAAAACAAAACCAAGACAAAAAGCAAAAACAGAAAACCACTGCCCTTGGTCTTGGCTCTAGCAGTCCTAGATCTTTAAGAACCCCTTTCCCTCAAATTCAAGGTTTGTTTTTTTTTTTTTAACAAATCATATTTAAAATATGTGTTTCCCTTTCCTCATTGTGATGAGAATGCTGAGAAACTATTTTTTCACGTTCAATAAAAATCCAGATAGCTGCTTTGTTCCCAAATCACCTGGTACATTTAATATCCCAAAGATCAAAATTGGCATTCACAGGTAATTTTTTACAAAGATAAAACCTAACGATCATGGTCACAATCTTTCCTAAAACCAACTAAAGACAGCAAGAGTCATGCACGGCTCCATCAATGTTCTGGTGCCACACAGATGGTTTCACACTCAGCCTCTCGTATCTCCAGCCACGTGTACTCAGTTCCCAGTGTATGGCTGAGCACAGTGCCTGCTGGGCCAACTCTCAGAGAGAGAAATCAATCAAACCCATGACACTAAGATTAAAATAAGCTACGTTTAATATTCTCTTAAAGACTCAGCAAGTCCTTTCAGATTTTGCTATGCTACAAGATGAGGCCACTAATATTGATTATCACATTAATATATAATCACATCAATATGTATATAAATATGAATATATTAACCAACGGGGACATTGGCTTAGAAATATTGTACCATATGAAAAAATACTTCAGTGACCAAGCCTATTATTTAACCTTTGCAATGCTCTCTCTTCCTTCCCCTTCCTCTACATTCCTGCTGAGACCACACTCAGCAGGCGGGTTTGAAGATCAGAAAGAAGGAGTGGTGTGACAGAGCGCTGGGGGCGGGAGAAAATAGCAGCAGATAAGGCCAGGCAGGTGGGCGGGGGAGGGAGCATGCCAGGCCTTGCAGGCTTTAGCCAAGTATTTATATTTATTCTAAGTACAAAGGGAACTGCCTGGAGGGACTTAGGAAGTGAGTGTATGATGTAATTTACATTTTATAAGGATCATTCTGCCTTCCTGTCTGGTGAATTTATGCCTTGTGCTCATGATTGGATCACAAGTTCGTGGATGGTAGGGCTACAGGCATGTTCCTTTTAATGCCCTCACCTCACACACTCGCAGAAGTGTTAAACCAAGAGTTCCCAAACTTTTGTGCGCAGCAGAATCACCGGGAAGCTCATTCTAACCCAGCTTGCTGGGCCCCACCTGCAGAGTGTCTGATTCAGTAGGTCTGGGTGGTACCTGAGGATCCGTATTTCTAACAAGTTCCCAGGTGATGCCGGGAAGCAGTTGCTGGTCCAGGCAGGGCTCCTGGAGAGCCAGTGTTTAAATCTATTTGCTGAATAAATCAGTCAATAAAGAGAGATGAGAATGTTTTTTTTCCAAACAAAACAATAGAAACAATCAGTGGTTTGAGTTTGACCTAAAATGGCAATCATTTCTTCTAATTTTTCTTTTCTTACATTATTCCCTTCACCATATTATGTGATGATAACAAGAGGACTAACCCTGCATGCAGAAGTACTCTGAAAGGAAATAGATCATTGTGATTAGACAAGATGAGACACTTCAGAGACTGCATTGCCAAGTTTAATTATAAATCAAATGTCAAAGATTTTTTTTTGCAAAAGTATGTGATTTATTTGTGCAGGCAGTAATTACCTGCCTCAATCCAGAAAGGATATGAGGTGGTGAGGCATCCGGTGGTGCTAATCCAAAACTGAAAATTAAACTAAACTTTCCTTGGAATTCAGGAATAAAGCTCACCAAGGCCCATCCCTGTTTGGTTCAAAGTACACGGCGTTGATGAATATGCCTCTATAAGAAGAGGTTGTTTCAAACTCGCTTTCTTGAAGGAACCCCCATAGATTCCAATTTAGATGCTTCCTATGCCAAAGCAGAAATGCAACTGAAAAATGCAAAGTAAACAGAGACTCAGAACCAACAGAGGGAGAATGTGCTTCAGACCTAGGAGAGTTGGCACAGACCACTATACAAGAAGCAACCGGGGTCTCTGAGGATTTACTTGGCTCCGCCACACGTGAGGCTGTGGTTTTCCCGTGCAAATGTCCATCCACCCAGAAATTGTTATCACGCCCAACCAACAATAGGCAGTCCAAACTTAGGGATGGCTGGGAGCTTGCGGGTCAGTAGGAAGCCCTCTTGCCAGAGGCCTACAAGGTCATAGGCTCACATTCTGTGTAGGATAAAAACTGGTGAGACATAGCCCAGGATTGTGTAGGGCTATACTTAAACACCGAAGGGTGGGCCTAAATGAAATCTCATCTATCCAGTAGTTATTCAGACCTTATAGTCTAAGAAGTTGACCACAGAGGGAGGGATTCAAAACATCAAAAGCCAGAGAATCAAAACAGGAAAGGCCATTGAAAATCATAGGCCTTGAAAAGCAAACAATAAATAAAATAGTCATGAAATAGGAACCAATGAATGAATCGTACTCTTTGTCCACATAGCAAGACACAAACAAGAGGTGGATGCAACAATTTATATCATGTGGATGATAAACCTGGATTCTTGTCCTATGCTGGTGGGAATCATGGACAAAAGTCTGGCTATGAATTAAACACAAAATAGCAACCCCTACACTCTAGCAAAAAATAAAGTACACGTGAACCCCCAAATCCCAGGTCATTATGCAGAGTCTCTCTGAAACGCAGCTCCCCATGGCATTTGCAGTTACCCACCTCCAAAAGGGGACGAGTAAACACTGGACCTGCTCTGGTGTTAAAGTGCCACCGGGTACTCCCCGCTGTCTCCCTCCTCCTCTTCTTCTTTACAGACAGGTAAAGTTGGATCTCTTGAAGGAACTGGGGGCTCCCACTCTAGGCAAAGGTTGGACAGGTGATCAATGTACAGCATGAGATTTGACTGTGCCTCCATGCCTCCGACAGAGCTGGATCATCTGGGGCAATGAAAATTATAAGCAACAAGAAAGCGGTATTAACAGCAAGGGTAGGGAGCCCAGGCAGCACACACCACGATTCCCTAGGACACCCAGCCACCATTCCTTTCCTCATCCAGCCCTTCCGAACACACTCATCAAGCACTGTGCCAGGCTCTGGGGATACAGGAGTGACAAATATGAACACAAGCCCTGCCCTCATAGAGCTTATGGGCTATTTAGGACAGTGAGACAAGCAATTAAGGGACAGTGGGTAAAGAAACCTAGAGGGGACATGGAGCACAAAACAAAGGCAGCCAACCCAGACAGGGTGTGGGTGGTCAGGGAAGGCTTCTTGGAAGAAGTGACATTTAACACTGAGCCCGGAGGACCCATGGAGTTAGCCAGACAAGACTGGGGTGTGTCAGCATGTGCAAGATTCTGAGATGAGAAAGCATGGCTGGTCTGAGGGCAGAAAGCCCTTTGTTCTCAGCCATTCTCCAGCCCTTAATCCCAAACCCAACCAGAGCACCAGATTTGGAGTCTGCAGCTCTTATCATGAGGTGCTCCTCCAATCCCCACAATCCAGTCGTGTTTTAACCTCTTCAGGGGGATCTCAGGAAAGGAAAGAACTGAGGAAATAGTTTTTTCTGTAAGAAGATAGGGAAAAAAAACAATAATACAGAGTTGAACTGCTATAGAATAGACCCAACTGCAGCAATCTGTTTTCTGCACACCACATCACAGGTAAGTGACATGCCACGCTCACTGGGGACGGTTGAAACAACAAGACACCAGACCGCAATTTGGCATCACCAAAGTGGGAGCCCCCAGGCTTCTTCTCTTTGGCTCGCACTTTGCCCTTTCCTTTTCTCCAAATCCCTGGGAAATCACAGAGGGAGCACTTTGCTCCTGTTAGCCTTGGTGTTTTTGATGTCTAAAAGGCTACCACCGACACGATACCTCCCACTTGCCTTATGCAAGTAAGGAAATCCAGATAGCTATGAAGCCAATCTTGTCAGAGGCCTCCATGCAGGAAAACAAAATAAAACAAACAGAAAAACCTGTGAAAGTCCCAGTAGTCTGAATGTTACCCAGGGTTCTAGCCACCTTTGCATTATGAAAGAGACCATTGTCCGGGATGGTTTAAGACGTTGCAATAAGTATGTGGTCATTTTACGAAAACGCACAGTCCAAAGTAGCTGTCCTTTATGTTTTAATATTATCCTATAATTCAACTCCTGCAAACAACATCCCTGAGTAAACATGGAAAGAAATAAAACTCTCACTTCTAAAAAGCAGAGCAGGCAGCTATTTTAGAGACAAAGAAAGGATGTCTTTTTAACCTATGACAACACAAATTTGTTTAGGTTTTCCCTTTACTAAGTAAGTAAGCCATGAGGTATTTTCCAATAAAAATATCCCCGTGCATGTGCAAACACCAGAGGCAATCATATAATTACCATGCCCAATCAGATTCAATTGCTGACAGTTGAGTTCCCACTGCTCATTAACTTCAGATCGCAATGAGGTCTTTACGGAAGCCCTTTCCGTCTCTTTACAAAGGTTCCTATGATGCGGGGAGCAGCCCCAGCACTACGTCATGCGGGATAATCATCCCAAAATGGCCAGGGCCAAGGCCAGCCTACTCTGACTTCCCTCTGAAAAAATACAAAGAGAAAGTCCAAGAAACACTGGCTTAAATGCCCTTGCTTCATTTGGGGATCTCACTTCCAAATATAATAGTAACCTTTCACCTCCACACTTTAAGTGCCGTAATTATATAATTAAAACCAATTATGTCATTTAACAGAGAGACTTTTTCAAGATCCACGGCAAGCCAATTACTTCAATCATTGACCTCAGATGATTTCCCACACTGACCTGCAACCATGAGGATTGGGATAAATTTAGACATCAGCTTCCGAAGGCTGGCATGGATTAGCTGAACGGGTTGTAGCAGGTGTAGATTCTTCTAGACTCTAGGAGCTGAACTGAATTCATTGCATCTAACACCACCACCACCACTTGTTTGCACAACCCTTTCAATATCCCAAGATACTTGTTTGATCTTCATCACCACCCAAATAGTATTATTACTTCCATGTTGCAAGTGAGAAAAAGGAGGCAGGGAGAGTTACGGAGTTATCTCAAGTTATGCAACCAGTTAACAGCAAAGCCAGGGCATTAAAAGCAAAGCCAGAACAAGGACCTGAGTCTTCCACCATAGAATCCAAAGCCTGTTAATAGCAAGTAGAGTGAGTGAGTGTGAGTGTCAGTGTGTGTACACACCCGTGCAGATTTACTCTCCTGGGCATCCATACCTCCTACTGAGGTAACACGTCTGCTCCACTTTCAGCCCATGTGCATCACGCGAGGCTCCACTCCAGCTCAGGGCTGGTGCTGTCACCTAGGCCTCAGCCAATCAGCTCCTAGCATTCCCCTCACTGCAGCATTGGTCCAGAGATGAGCACATGACCCAATCAAAGCCAATGAGACACATTAGGACTTTGCTGAGGATCTTGGAATCTTACTCTTCCTAACTGGGCTTGCGTGTGAGAGGAGGTACCATCTGCCAGCTGAGCCGCCATCTTGATACGACTGAAGGAGTGAGGGAGAATGGAGCCAAGAGATGTAGAGAGAGAAACTGGTTCCAGGAGACTCCCTGAATCCCTTCGTGTTGCGGTAGGGGCATTTAGAACCTGGAGTGGTTCAGTAGCACACTGGAGAAAATACGAAAAGCACCACCACCTACAGCTTGAGTAGTCTTGATTACAAGGATGGAATTAATTGACCGTGGCTCTGAGCAGCAGTCCTGCCTCCTGCTCACAACACAGTTAAATGCCTCCTATTTTTGAGTTATTTAAAGAACATACCATTTTATGGGCAAGAGGAAGCACTTTAATCTGCGAAATGATTTTTATCACAAACTAAACATCCTTGTAACTTTTTGATTCTCTGCTTTGGTCAACGTTGTCTCTCCTTGGAGCTGAGACAGCTGTTGGAACCAGAAGACCTGCCTCCTCGACCTTGCACTTTGCCCTGCTCAGTGGTACCCTTGTGCTCTCCAATTCCTAGACCTGTGTGGAATGTAAGAACTCAGGACACTTGCATTCATAAAAATGGAGCATCTTCTTTCTTTTTTCCCAGGCCTTGAGGAAAAAGAAAAAAGAGTAAGAATTCTTTTAATGCAGGATTTTCAAGCTTGGCACTATTGAAGTTTGGGGCCAGATAATTCTTTGTTGTTGGGGCTGCCTTATGCATTACAGAATGTGTAGCAGAGTCCTCTGGCCTCTACCCACTATCTGCCAGTAGCACCCCTCTCCCCAAGTTGGGACAACCAGAAATGTCTCTGGGCATTGTCAAATGTCTAGGAATCAGGGCTAACATCACCTCCGGTTGAGAACCACTGCTCTAATAGAACATCTGAGGTATTTATTGGATTTTCCTCATCTTTGAAAATATGACTCCTTATAGTATCATGGTGTCTTCTACTTAAAGTGTGAGGACTGAGGAAACCATTATGCTCCTTAGAACTTTGCAAGAGCAATGTAAAATATCCAGTGAGGAGAGCTGTCTAAACAAAAAGACCCAGGATCACAATACTGCCTTCTATCAGGGCCATGAAGCCACATAAGACTTGCTGACCCATTAAGGACCAGAGTGGGAAAACATGTATCAAATAGAAATAGTTTTACCTAAAGACCAGACAGAGGACAAGGATGTGGAGGGAAAAATTAGAAATGAAGAACAGACATCTAAACAGTGAGTTCCAAAGTGGGTATTCAGCTTCTCATTTCCACAGGAAAGAAAATGAAACCTTAAGATTGTTGCTGGGTTTCCTGGATACAGGTTTAGCCCAAAAAGGGAGAAGAGGCTGAGCTCAGACAGAAATGACCCCTCCAGCAAAGGCCTAAAACTCACTCTGCAAAGAAAAAGCCAAAAATGGTAAAGCCTCACTTATTTAGACAAAGGTGGGCAAAGACATTTAAAATAAGCAAAATTGATGGATTTATAGAATATTTTTTAAGGAAAGGCATTTACTTTCTTTCAAATGCCAGCAGTAACTAAGAGTGGGCTGGCAGTCCTTCCTTCAGGATTGATTTGAATGAGAAGGTAAGATAGAATTCATTTAATTAGCATAGGCATTGTTAAGCCTTGAAGACAGGCTTTGAACTGGTTTGTCCTCTCAATGAGCTGATTAGTTATATCTTCACACCGGCAGCTAGCTGAGGCCAGCCCAGGAATTCCACAGTAGTGAGGTTCCAATGAGGCTTTGCTTCAAGGCGTAGACTTCTTCTGCACACCTCAAAGTACTGACTTCTGATCAAGTCTGTCAGAAGAACCAGGTTGGTTTGTGTGGGAAGACTGGCCTTTGTTGGGGCAAAAATGTTTGGATTCTAGCAGTTTCTCTCACTAGAAGTTCTAATGCCTCAGGGGATGGAGAGGTGCATCAGGGGAGTTCAGATTATCAGATAGGGACATCACTGCTTCCTCAGTTCCCAGGAAGCCTCCCTCTGCACCTGTCTCCATGTGCTGTCCCATTCTTCTGGCCCCTCATTCTCCAACTGCCCTCACTTCTCTCCTGCAGCCAGTGAAATCTGACAGCTACCGTTTGATCATGTGTGAAATGGAGAAAGAGCAAGAATAAAGGAGTCTCTGAGGAGAAGTGGCCCTCCTCCCATTGTTCTTCTAGGCTTATTGTCTTTTGTTTTAGTAAAGAAGTAATGTTTAGAAGAAACGATAATAGAAAAATAGAAGTACTTGTCTGAAGGTTCTAGCAGAAGTCCACAGGGACTAATGAACTGTACAAAGGATTGTCTTTTGTAGAATTAGTAATTTAACCTGGAGGAGCTAGTCCTAAACTCTTGATACATAAGGACTGTTTCTCAGGGCACACTCTTTTGGATAAGCATCCCTACCCCACCCCATCTCTACTGAAGTCATTCATTCTGGGGCGGCAGGTGTCACAACAGGTCACCCTCATAGTCAATGACTGAATAAGACTTCCAAGAGCAGCA